CAACGCAACGAGGAGTACAAACATGACCAACTAAGAAGATGGTACAATAGTGATCCAGGAGATGAGTTACTAGATGCTAATTGAGTCGTATTGCAACGGGTACAAGACTTCCTGAGGTTGTTACTTCTACACTTGTGCACACAGAGGGATCTCCCTGGTGGGAGCAGATTCACAATGGAGGGGGTCTGTCTGTTACAATTCTTTTGCAAATGGATCTTTGATTTTAAGCATGAAGGACAGTCCTTCTGCAGTCATAATTCATAGTGAGTCCAATAAGCAAGTTATATCCTATAAATATCTGGGATTATACATTGGAATTACTCTTGGAAGGCACATATTCTACAAAACCAAAATTACTTTTTGTGGGTTTCAGGCTTTTGGTGCCAATAGTCAGATTCTGACCAAGTTTTTCAGTTCTCTGGTACAAAGTGTCATGCAGTATGGAATAACTGTATGATATAACAGCCTTTCTGTGCAACAGAAAGTGAAAATGTCCAGACTCTCGGATGTGTTCTAAGAGAATGGGGCAGCCACTTCAGCAGAGTGTGTAGCAACTAGCTGTGAGGATCTCCCCTGATCCCTCACATCTTCTGCAAGAAGATGAACTCATGCCTTGAGACACAGATCCCTCAGTGTGGCCTTTAACAAAATGAATTATTTTAGCTCATAATGAAACTCCTAGTCCACGGCAGCACCATCAGTGGATGATGTGCCAAGGGGGGTGTGTAACTGTATGGCTCAGTGCAATTGTACGGGTTTATTTACTGGTTCTGGTATAGTTCTGTGGACTGATGAATTTTTATGCGTGTCATGAATAACTAGAAGTAACCGTCCTTTATGTTTGTTAATATTTACTTGAACTGTTTGTGTTTGGTAAATTTCGGTGTATAACAAAGTGCTGCTTTGATGCAAGACAAAGTTCTGAGAAATCGCACAATTAAGTCTTATAGTAAACAGCGTGTTCTCGTTCGCCTGTTGCTGTGGGGGGGCTAAGATACAGTTCAAATGACCCCCGTGAGAACATGTCTCGCCAGCTCACCTGTCCAAACAGAGCCTGTGGGAATCGCCTGTCCGTTTTCGCGTGGCACTGCTCTGAGCCACCGTCCTCGTCTAGAAAGGAGGAATATTCCGACACAGCGCAGGCGTCCTCACGGCAGGAGCGAGTACTGCTGCGTGTTCGCGCACACGCGTGTTTACACGGCCTGCCCTCTCGGGTGGACACAGTGACCCTGACCCCTCAGGGCGAACGATATCCTCCCACTCGTAGAGGGACACGCGTGGGGAAACGCATACGGCAGCCCTGGTTCACATTAGGACTAAAACGTGAAGTGGGGGGGTATAAATATGTCGATTGAACTTTGTCATTATACTGACACAGGTGCTTAGTATGATGGAAAGTGTTCCTCATCTGTCTCTCGGGCGCAGTATATATATATACAGAACAGCAGACGGGACAATAGACAGTAAATACAATAATAACAATGTAAACAACGAGTATGGTACCAGTGTGACACCACCCGCATCAGTAGACAAACAGTGCAAGATAA